AAATGTCTCCGGAGTTACATTACTATAGTCCAATGACTTGAATAAAGCATGTTTCATATAGACTCCAATAAAAGAATAATATGAGTACTTGAATAAAGAATGAAACAGAAGCTAGCCGACTGTCAATATCTTTGATATTCATGACGTAAAAGTTCGGGAAAATAACCTTGTAAAAGGGTCTTACATCATATCCAGAGTAGATAGTCCTTGACAGAATAAAGGCCTAACTAAAGTACTTACAGTACAAGATGGTTTCATAGAAAATGCCACATCAGGCATAGACAGAAAAAAGATTCCTTTTTAACAAGGAAAAATAAAGTAAAGCATCTACTACTGGCGACGGTCATCCCTCTGGTGAACTCTCAGTTCAGCCAATCGACGTTCCATATCAAACAGGTATCTTTCGTATACCCTCTGACGTACTCGGAGCTCTATGACTTCGGCTCGGGTTTCAGCTAGTGCTTGCAACAGGGTTTCGTAGTCTCTCTTAGATCTCTCACGAACATGTTCAAGGCTGTTGGTGCGAAGGATATGCATCCCTCCATTGGTGTCAACTTCCGCGATACGATGTAGAGCTGTCCTGCCCTGAATTTCATTTCGGGCAACTCTACGGATCAGGATTGGTAGAACTCTATCTGCTGTGCTCCCTTCATTTACGTTGTAGAAGCTTCGGTCTCCATTAAACAGTATAGGTTGATCTTGATCTTCGCTCCATGCTTCCAAACATTCGACCCATGGAGGCGTCAGGCCATGAAAAGCCGAACGAGGGTTAGGAATTGGAACGGGAGCTTCCTGGGGTAGGTTCTCAACCTCAGGTTCAAAGTTAGCATCGTCCTAAAGGTCTTCATCATGGTGGTCATTCAAAGGAATCAGATGATCATTCTCTGGTTCTTCTCCAAAACATCCAGCAATGACTTCGTTCGGAAGGTACTGGTTGCCGTGGGGATGGAGTCCAGCCATGTTATCTACGCGAGAATTGGGGTAAGATAATAACTATTAGATGAACTATCTAGATAATTATTTACAAAACCTTCATTAGTTACATCGCTATTTGTGAAGTGCATACCAGTTATATGTAATCGAAACAGGATAGGCCTTCAAATAAGTGACCTTAACTCCAAATTCACACAGAATAGGGGTAAAGTAAAATTTTCACAGATTCTAAGTCTATAACATCCTAATTACATACCGCCTTAGTGTATCTACTTAGAAACTATCAACTTAGTAATGAAGATCCCCTTTTAGTTCTCATGTATAAAGTACTTATAGTAACACCAAATACTCCTATAGTATTTTAAGTTTAATGTTATGTTCTAGTGTTCTCATTGTGGTATTGTTGGTAAGATTTTAGACTTGTTGCAACCACACAACTATACTTAGGCACATGCTAGTCAACCCTCGGATAATATAGGTGATCAGGCTATATCTTCCCAGTTTTGACTATATGTCTCTAAGTCCACCTGTGTTGCCCAACAATTGTAATTCTTTTGTACTGTCCTAGTGACACCGATTTTAGTATGAATGCAGCACGTATACTTAATTAAATATTTTATTATTTAAATTATAAACTCTTGGTAAGAGTATTTTTTAATCTCATTGTATTTATAGTCAGTATATCTTTTATGGGTTGATATACTTAATTCACTATAAGCAATGCTCTGATACCAATCTGTCACACCCCAAAACCATGAACGGCGGAAACGTTCTGGGGCGGAGGACGTCATGTATAGTATCACAACAATGAAAAGTAGTAATCAAGCAACAACATCATCCATTGCATTAATAATATAATTTTAATACAAGTGTGTTATGTCAAATTATAATAGACACTAAAGTGTAAATCAAAATGAAAGATGAGTCTTGAACGAGCACCATCTTCTCTGAACCTTGCATCGGTACCTGTCTATGGTTGACCTGAGGATACAAGTTATTTTGAAAGTGAGTATCAGCTTTAAAGCTGATGTGATCATAAGTATTTTAGTGTCTTAATTTGTATGTAAGTATTTGTATGTGTATGAACTGTAAGTATTTGTATGTATATGAATGATCCTAGGAAGCCCTATGTTTCCTACTAATCGCATCCTTCTACCAAGGCATCTAGTATCTGTGTGTGTGTGTGGCTCTTGTAAGAGTGTGTATTTTCCCAAATATGACTATCATTAACCAAAAATATAGTTTCTACATTATTGCGCGTCGTGTGAATGTTCACGAAGTGAATGTAATGGGAAAAGGAAATAGTACTATGGTGTAGTGTCGAACTACAACCGTACTAATTACCTTAAGTCTAGGGTAATCTCGTAAGTACTGTAGTATTTGTAATAAGTGACTACCTCTGTACTCCTATTGCCTTATTTGAGGGATAAGGCCTAATTTGATGGCTAGATCCCAGGCTAAACGCTCCCCTGTCAAAGGGATTTTGGGACCTTTACACGACCCCTGCCTGTATGCAAGCTGTGAACATCCACATTACTATGATCATGTATACCCGATATAACTATCACAATGCGTTGTGATTCATCGTTATAGTTAGATCTTGAACTTGTTCTATGCTATAGCACCTAGTGATGTCTGTCCTATCAAAGTATATGTAACCGCACTCATGTAAACGTATATATGTAAACGTACTCATGTAAGCGTAATCATGTAAAACATATCTATGTAATAGTATAGTAATGTACTGTAATGTTCTGTGTGTGCTAGCTGTAACGTGTGTTCTCTCTCTATCTAGCATGTATAGTAATGTATTGTGTGTACTAGCTGTAATGTATGTTCTCTCTATCTAGCAAGTATTGACTCATGAATTAACTGACTCATTGTATGATATCGCGTTCTAGTAATAGTCCTAGTATCTTCCTAAACTACCCATATGGTAGCTTACTAGTAATGTAACTGGTACGCATGAACATGGATGTGTACCCTTGCTACCCAAGGGTACTAAACTGAACTGGAAGAACCTTTATGACTATATATGTACACATGATATATAACTAATATTTAAATGACCTTCGGATGGATAGATATCCCACCAGACCACATCTCAAGCGCGAAAAGGAAATAGGGTGAATAGCCTTCCTAAGTTATTTAAACATTTCTTATATAACCATACATATATAGGCATGCAGTTGACAATATAAAAGCATAAAATAAGTTTTGTAAAACCTTTTAAACATGATTACTATCTAAGAAAAGATCGACTTGATGTCAATCTATAAAACGGGTTGGAAGTATTTATCTAACAAAACAGTTTTAAATATAAAGAAACATTTGTTTGAAACACAATTGTAAATGAGTTTGAAATGAAACATGCAGTGTATAATGAACAATTAAATCAGGAGTTTTAAACATATAAAACGTATATGAAAATCCTTTGAATAACAACTGTTTGGTAAAACAGCTAATGTGTAGTAAATCATTTGAATGCTGCTTATTAATCACATGTGATTGAGATCATAACTAGCATGATTCTACTTGTATCCCCCCCCCCCCCATAAAACATTTAAAACATTGATTAAGGGGTATGAACTCACCTGTTGTGGGTGATACGGATGAACCGAAGAGGTAGGACTACTAGGTGTCAAGTGAAGTCTTAAACACACTCTATGATCCTAGTTAACATATATTTTCACATATATGTAACAAATTAGTCTATAAATAACTAATAAACAAGTCAAGACACCCTAGGACATGCTAAACACCTTTATCAAGTGTTATTAGCCTCTAGGATTGCATCTAAGTGTTTGTAGGGGAAGCTATTATGTGTACGGTCATAAACTCATGAGTTTACGGCTGTAAGCTCATACTTATGTTACCATTTGATGTTTGATGCTCTATAAGGCCCTAAGAAGCAATTCTACTCAATGGCTTGGTCTATGGAAGAGTTTAGGGCATTATATAACTCCTTTTAGGAGTTCACGGCCCTGGGACCAAATCCCATGTAGATTACGACCGTAATCTCCCTTGGAAGGGTGTTTGTGGTGTTTTCAAGTCCCTCATTTAACTAGGAACTAAACTAGGCTATTGTACAAGGCTTTAGAAGAGTTTATAGCACCATTTGGCACTATTGATTGGAGTTCACAGCCCTGGAACTTCTTGGGCCGTGAACACCTTACTCTTGGTGTTCTAAGGGTGTTTGCTAGTCCTAAACTCATTAGGGTACATGTCTAAACTAGTCTCTTGGCTTAAGGAAGGCTTTTAAGGTGTTTTGGCACCTAAAAATGGAGTTCACGGCCCAAGAACATCCTTGGCTGTGAACTCACTTCTAGCCTTTGTTTCTTAATGATTTTGTGGTCTAAACATGTCATGGTAGTTCCTAGGTTGAGTTCCAAGGCTTGGAGGGACATTGGGCACACTTTGGCCCTTGTAAAAGGGTTTACGGTCCAAGATGTTCTTGGGCGGTAAACTCTTAAATCTTGTTGTTTTGACGTGTAATCTAGGTTATTAAGCACTGAATAAGTTATATAATACAACTAGATAGATGTACTCACGTTTTGGGACGGAAGTCCGAAGATCCGTGAGAGAGAATCTGCTTTTCTCTAATTGGAAATGGAACTAATGAATAAATATGACTCAGATTTCTATATATAGTCCTGGGATTTTTGGCATAAAATATTTTATTCATGCAATGAACTCTAATATCATAGAGTTTGGAATAACAGAGTTGCACAATACACAAGTGCATCCACTCTCCTGATATCTCCTTAAGTGTAAATCCTGAAAAAACTGTCAAACTTATACCCAAAGTCTAGAAATTTACTGTAACTATTCTAATCTTCTACTGACTTGATATGGTTTGTACCGAATGGAAAATTCGGGTTGTCACATCCCTACAGAAGAAAAGCTGTCATGGCTAATAAGAGGAAGACAACTCGAAGGGTGTTTGAATTTGTTCTTGTTGATTACCGAATTATAAACTTCATGGAAAATGGAAGTAATTGCAAAGAAGATAAAAGGGGGAAGTATGGTAGAATACTAGCCTTAACAAGAGCACCGGAGAGCTCTTCCTATAAAATGCAACCATTATGTTCGACATAAATGGATTGGAAAATACGATAAAGCTCAAGCTCCTTGTCATCCATGTACCTTCTGAACTCCTGATAATCAACTCTTCCATCCCTATTTGCATCGCAAACCCTAAGTAACTCTTTCACGTACTTGTAATCCTTCGAAATTTGCATCGCCGATAGCCCTACCTTGATCTGAACAAAATCCAAGTACCCTGCGTTTGATGCATCAAAGAAATTAAACAACCCCCAAAATCGTGATTCTCTCTCGTCTTTTATCTCTCTCAACACCAATAACACATGTTCGATTGTCACTGGTCCATGCTCGTTCACAAGATTACAGCATCCCCCCAGTAAGTCCCTTGCGGAAGATGAATGCCGGTGGTGATCTTCGACATGCTTAATCGCAGATGATGCCATCAAGAAATAAACAATCAATTTCTCGAAAACATATCCCAAAATTGCTATAAGAGAAAAGATCTATATGTGGAATTAGGTTCTAAGAAATCAAAACGCATACAGTAGAAATAACTTGACCCGATCGATTCAAATAAAGGCTCAATCTTTCCAAGTCAAAATTGTGGAGCTTTTGTTAATGGCACACGAGAGAGAGAGAGAGAGAGAGAGAGAGAGAGAGAGAGAGAGAGAGAGAGATTAGGGTGTGGGTCCCATTTTATTATTAATAAAACATCTAGTTAAATAGAAAAAAAATATAAAAAATATATCAAGATGGCAATTTAGTCATTTCAATTTTGAGAGGGATCATTTTCACATACAAACTAGTCCAAAAGGACCACCAATCCAAAAAGATTGAGGTTTGGACTAAAACCCCCAAAATGCATACCACAAGGATCATTTTTGCAATTTTGTCTTTTTTTTTTTTAGAAAAAAAAATAACATGAATGGTTGTGAATAGAGGAAAAGAGTATACAATTTCTCTGTAACGTGGATTCCATGATTCAACAAGGGTACATTATATCAATAGTCCCTTGTGCACATGACAAAAAGCGTTTTTAGTCACAATTTTCAAAAATTAATTCGGACCGTCTCTTTTTTGTTTTAAAATTTCATGCTTCGTTCCTGATATGCATTTTTGTTGCGCTTTTGATCCATTTCAAATATGAAATGACCATTATGCTGTTTATCTTGTCCAATTAAATTATTATTATTATTATTATTATTATTATTAATTTAAAAAAATAGAAAAATAATAGCCCCACCTATTCCCATCCACCCACCCTAAAAATATAACCTACTATCTTCTACTTATTTTTCTCTTAGACTAGTCCTAAACATCTGCATCACCACTAGGAACAGACCACCAAACCACTGGTCGCCTGAGATGGAGACCTCACCGGAGCACCGCAATATCAAATCTCCTTCTTTCTAAGCTTGGAAATGCCGCCGACGATGAAAGAAAGGATTCCAATTGTTTCTAGAGTTTTGTTGCAAGTTTCTTTTTTGTTCTTGGAGGATGATTTTGAAGATAATTCCAAGAGGAGATTGTGCTTGAGATTCGAAATCATTTGATTCCCCATCCTCAGTAACCAAGGCTCAACCACCATTGTTGAATGCTTGACGTCCCCAAGCTTCAAGTCGTTGGAGATGGTGACACGGCGGGTTCTTGATCTTCTTCTCCGGTGACATGTGATTTCCTTAACCCATTATGTCTTACCCTCGCTCATAGATCTGCTCCATTTATACATCACCAACACTTGCAAGTGGGTTTTCAGATTTGAAGTTTAGATTTTCCGATTTGATGTGGTTGGAGATTTGTGGTTTGATTTTGAGATTTCTGTAAGAGAGAGTGAGAGATGGCATGATATAAGGGATGACCAAAGGTTGCTGGTGACCGAAGGTGGCTGGTGGTCGGAGGCGGTTGATGGATGGTGGTTGTAGGAATCCGTTTAAGGAGTGATGGTGGGGGTAATCTACTAATCTGTGGAGAATCTTGATACTGGAGAAATGCGGAAATGGAAGGGGGTTAAGGATATTTGTTTTTTCTTTAATTTAAAACTGAAAAAAAAATAAAAAAAAAAATTACTAAGGACAAAATAGTCATTTCATACCAATAGGGACGAAACATACAAGTTTTAAACAAACGAATGACAGCCTTAAGTAACTTTTGAAAATATGAACTAAACACGCTTTCTGACATGTATCCTAATGACTATTGGTGTAATTTACCCATTCAACAAATACAACCTCCATACAATTGCACTAAATAAGCAACCGAATATGCGACAGCAAGATAGAAAACTCTTTAATTAATAGCGACAATTGTATATATTCATAAATGGTTAAAGAATTATAGATTTTTAAATACTCGAATAATTAATTATCGGTTATAACTTTAAACAACAAAATGCTATCTTTTACAGCCTGATTTGTTACAAATATACTCGCAAACATAATGAATCTGAGTTCTACTACCCTTTTTAAACACTTACGCCCCTTCCCTCCACACACCCACAATCACAACAAAATGTTCAAATCATAGGTCATAACCATTTTCCTTTTGAATAATATACACATTTCATCCCATTAAATTCCATTTCAACAAAAGGGCAATTCAGTCATTTCACTTTACAGATTTCTTCTCAGTCGTCACCCCAACCACAACGTTGCTTACCAGTTTCCCGCTCTCATCAACCGACATTGGGTTTTCAACTACTACCGTTTGGTTATAAGAATGAGGCACTTCCTGCAATAAATTATATAAAAAAAAATACATGTAACATATACAAAAGAAATTAAACAAAACAAAAAATATATATTTGTGTATTATGAGAAAAAAAACTCACTGATGCTGATGTGGCTGCAGGAACCCTTCCATTTCCCATCTAAAACCAATATGATATAACTTATAAGAATGAAATAATATATTTAAAACAATAAATCAAAAAGAAAAAAATGATGAATCATATTACTCACATTGGCATTTGTAATGTAATGACAAACTGCACATTTAACTGATGGAGCACCAGATGGATACATCAACATTGTGCGACAATTCCCACAATTTACATGAGCAAGCTGATTGGAAACTATTAATGCAAAAACAAAAAAACAAAATTACAAAAACATTTTACTTGAAATGAAGATCAATTGCATGATAAAATTAGGAAAGGTTAAATACAAAGACTATGAAAGACAACTGTAAATAGGAAAACTATCTAGGGTTAACCTGGTGCAAGATTGACAGTGTGACAACAAGAGCATCTGACACTTGTAGCACCACGTGCATACATCAGCAATGTGCGACAACCTCCACAGATCAATTGGGCCATCTCCATTCCTGAAACTTGTAAAATGATTACAAGTATTAGATTACATAAATTAGATCGTTAATGAGCTTGATCAATTTGTTGGTTTTCTAATGAAGTTTAATGAGATTCAGAACCCGATTATAATTCTGCATTTCAGTAACAGGCTAAATTATTCATCTCAAACTAACAGGTTTAACTAGTTAACGACAGAAATATAAAAATGGAACATTACAAATAAACCAGATTAAGTTTCAGATGAGTCATACCAGGAGGGGGAGATGAAGTAACTGCATTACACAATGCACAACATACGTTTGAAGCTCCTCTTGGATATAGTAAGATGCTTCTACACCCACTGCAAACTATTTGGCTCTGCATATTTCTCTGTGGTTCAAACAGCCGAATGAAAGTTCAACTTTTTCTACAAGGTCCACGGAAACCCTAAAATTCTCCAGAATCGAAACAATTAGGGCTTCGAGTACAACATATCGAAAGGAAGTTAAGAATTACCATCAAGTATAGAAACCGAATTCACATCACGAAAAGGAGTTCGATGAAACTAGATGGAATTGAAAATTACCTGGATTAAAGGATGATGAGATCTGAGGGGAATTTCTCGTTGGGTTGTTGGTAGATTCAATTGCAAACTTTGTCGAAGGAATTTATTGGGCATCAAGGAGCATTGTTGAGGAGGATTCGGCTTCAACGACACTGAAAAGAGGGAAAGAAACAGATTGGATTTGTTGGAATAACAGACATTTTTTGGATATGCAAAATTATTTTTTAAAGCAAAAAGGTTATTTATTTATTTTAAATCGGATAAGCATACGCTGTAATTCTGTATATAAAATAAACTACTCTGGAATGAGATGAGAGCTGATTAGGCATGGCCACCTACGCATGAACACCGCTACAGGTGTGCGTAGATGCCTTATGGCGTAGCCCCATCCACGGGCGAAGACACCTAATTGCGAGGAGAGAGAAAAATGTATTTGACCATTTATGGATTTTAAAAAAAATTATTAAAAAATTTAAATTTAAATAACGTTTATATATATATATATATATATATATATATATATATATATATATATATATATATATATATATATATATATATAATGCACATTTTATCTTCATTTTATACTTCTAAAACAAAAAACTTTCTCATACTTTCTATCTATTCTCTTAAAAAAGTGGACCCAAACCAAAATACATCACCCATTCCAAACATTCCAAACACTCCAAATGATTATCAAACACACATGCAATACCCTTCAATCCAACAACAATCTTTATTCACTAACCTTTTATACAACCCATAATTCTTCGAACAACAACAACCAAAACAACAATTCATTCAACCTCAATTCACTCAACCCTAATTCCAAGGTTTTCAACAATAAACTTCTCAACAATTCCAAACAAAATCATCTCAAGTCCTATTATCTCAAACCCAAACTGTGAACCTTGACAACGACGATGAACGGGTCCACGAAACACCACAACCATCTCGAAGAAGGCAACAAAAAGCAAAATGGGAAAAGAAAGCAGTGGCTTGGAACGAAGAAGAGGAAGAAGCTTTAGTAAAAGCTTGGATTTCCATATCATGTGACTCGAGAAGAGGCAACACGCAATCCAAAGAAAGTTTTTGGAATCGTGTTTTGGATCTCTTGCACGCACTACTTGGAAGCCAAACGGATCGGTCGTACGACGCAGTCAAGGGAAAATGGCGTGATCTTCACGCGGTTTGCACAAAGTTTAATGGCATATTTGAAAATCTAAAAAATACGCATAAAAGTGGTTCCAACGACTTCAACATTTTATCAACCGCATGCTACCAATTTAAAGTTACCAAGAATGGTAAACCATTTGGTCACCAAAAAACATGGGAAAGCCGTAACAATCCAAAATAGGTCCTTAATCCAGAGACATCACGTTCGAACTCGACCACCGGCTCCAACAAAAGACCAAGAACTTATGATTCGGACGTGGGTTTTGGGCTAGACCTCAATGATAACGTCGATGTTGCCGATGCAGAGGATCCACCGGAAGTCCAACTTCATCAACCACCATGAAGGAATAAAGAAAAAAAGGGGACATCTTCAAGCAGAAAAGCAACCGCAACTAGCGACAACGGGCTTGTGCAATCCATAGATAAAACTCTAAGTTTTTCTAGAAAAAAAATATATAAATCAACAGAGGAAGCTCGTTGCCCAAAAATCACTCTTACTGATCTTTAATCATTTATGTTTTAGTTGCTATGTTGTGTGTTTTTTTAACGTAATTTAGGATAAATAAGTAATTTAGGATTTTTTAATGTTTTTTTTTTAAGTTTTTTAGAATTTAAATTTGTGTGTTTTAAAATTAATGTAATGTGTTTTAATTTAACGTATTTAATTTAATGTGTGTTTTATTTTAATTATTTTTTTAATTTAATCTAATAATGTCAAAAAAAAAATGATTTGGAGTGGTAACCATTTCCAAGGGCTAGTGGTTTGGTAGTGGGCTTGTAGTGGAGTTGATATGGTGCTGAATTGACATCACTTTTTTGTTGGGTTGGGTGTAACCATACCCCTATTGCCTAATAAGGAAAATTTAAGGTGATTATGTAACATTCTGATTTCCAGGTATGAGATTTATTCTTTAAAAGGCAAGTTTCCCTTGGAACTCGGTGAGTTGATGGCCTCAACTCGACGTGTTGAAGGCTTTTGGGTCACGTATCTTTTTGGACCAACTCAACGAGTTGGTGAGGAAAACTCGACGAGTTGGCGGCTGGGTGAGAAACCTAAAATTTAGGGTTTTGCACCCTATTTAATCTCCTTAAGTTCCTAGGATTTATCCTTTATCAGCCTCCAAACCCTTTTGCAGCCCTAGTAAACCCTAATCACCCTTCCCTCTCATTTTGTGTCTCATGGTTCTTTTGGGGCAAAAAGAGAAGAAGTTGGAAGAAGGAAGCAAGGATCTAGCAAGCTAAGCTCTCATCTTCAATTTGGCACTCTTTTGGACCGTTTTAAGTATTCAAGATCCGATTTTTATTTATCTATGCAGCTAGATCTTGAGTTTTGTCCCTTTTCTCCGTATTCTAGGATGTTGCAATGGATGGACATCATAAATTTGCAACTTTATGAATCTCCAGGTCAAGGTGACCTTATAGTGGGTTAGATCTGGTCTTTAGCCAAGCTTTGATGCCATGCATGGAGTTTAGGTCATATTTTCCCTTTTAGATCCATTTTGGGTTCAAAACATGCATTGGACATGTATGTCTATAAAGCACCAACCTTTGGGACATTTTTAGGCTAGAATCTCTTACGGAAAAGTTGGGTTTCATATCTCAAGGATTTTGTGCTTAATGGTTAAGCCCTTGAGTTTCCAAGCGTTGCGGATAGGCTTTTAAGCATATGGAGTAGCTTTAAAGGATAAAGTTGGAAACTTTATCCTCCTAGACACATTTGGAGTTTATATCTGAGCCTTAGAGTCCCTGGAATCGAAGAATTAGATGTATGTATTAAGCTGGGAAAAACTCGACGAGTTATCCAAACAACTTAGCGAGTTGGCCAGGGTTTTCACGATCTTTCTGAGTACTGTAGAAACTCGACGAGTTCATAAGTGCACTCGACGAGTTGGTCAACATGGACTATTGACCTTGACCATTGACTTTGACTATTGACCATGGTTGACCAAGTTGGACTTTTGAGGGCATTTTGTGTATTTTAGGATTTTGATGGATCTGGTCACATGGTGGTTGTAGGCATTCGAGTCAAGAGCAGAGATTCAGAGTCAGACCTCATCAATTCTTCCCTACTTGTGAGGTGAGTTTTCCTCACTGTACTTTTGGGTCGAAGGCACCAAGGCCGGCCTATTGGTTTGATAACTTGATATTTGTTGATATGTGGAGTATGTAATAGATATGCATGCTAGATTTTGTAACGACCAAAAATTTCAACAAAATTTAAACTTTTCAAAAACAACCTATTTTAATAATGTTATTACAAAAAAGTTTTCAATACATTTATTATCAGAGTATTCCTAGAACCATAACATAAACCATAAACACGAGGAGCTGTACGATCACGTCTTCTCCTTGCCACGGTCTCCTGAAGAACCTGAAAAACATTAAACCACAATTGTAATCCCGAAAGCTTAGTGAGATACCCCTAAAATACCAAGCACATATACGCCCTTCCAAGCTACGACCTTCCGGTCCAAATCATAATGTCTTCCGGCCCATAACATAGTGCCTTCCGGCCCATAACATAAATAGCATACATAACATAACAGAACATAGAACAGCCATGCATATCGGGTCTACTGTGTGACTGGTCCGCCACATCGGGCCTTCAGTCCACCGGGTCCACCCTCCGAGTCTAGTCATGTCCTTCGAGTCTGCAGTGTGGTTGGTCCGCCCGTGCCGGGCCTTCAACCCACCTGGTCCACTCTTTGAGTCTACAGTATGACTGGTCCGCCCGCATCGGGCCTTCAGTCGGCCTGGTCCACTCTCCGAGCCTCGACACGTCTGGTTCGCCCTCGTGGGGCCTACATCCTATCCGGACCGCTTGTTGGGCCTTCAAAACAACCGGTCCACCCTGGGTATCTTGGCCTACAGCACAAAGCAGGACCACCTCAACCCAACTCCAGTCCAAACAACCATGTGCACATAACATACAATCATATAACAGTTCATAGTCAGCAAGCCGATCAAGCAGATCACATAACGTATCATCATCCTAACCAGGATACCGACCTAACCGGTCACTAGCATAACATCACCCAACATATCAAGAAACCGACCTTAACCAGGTCTCTAACATATACCATCCTAGCTACCAGGATGCAGACATATCAAAGCAATAACATAACAACAAATACCCGAATCTCAATCCGATAAAGGGCCGGCCTTGGTGCCTTAGACCCTGTCGATATAGTGATGATAACTCACCTCGCGAAAGCCGATACTCTGAACTGAAGAAGCAGACTCTCGAATCACCAACTCGCCGCAAATCTCAAACTAGCCCACATAGCACAAACACACATTAGGCCAAACATACATCCACTTATCGGGCCAAGACCAAAGTCCAAATCTTATACAAAGTCCAATATTGGCCTAATTTACCAAATTAGGCCCACCTCACCAAATGGGCCTAGATCCAATGTCCATAACAATAATTGGGACCAAAAATACTCTATCCACAATTTCCAGACTTGGCCCAATAACCAACTACCCACAAACGGCCCAAACTCAAAAGCCCAATATTAAAGTCTACTCAGGGGGAGTACGCTGGGCGTACCCTCCTTGGTACGCGACGCGTACTCACTGAAACGCAACCGAGGATCGGGGCCTTGACCCACTTCGCGGGGCGTACAACCAAGTTACGCGG